CACTGGCTCTTGGAGGTTACCGAGCAGGAGCTATGAAGAGAACTGCAGATTCCCCTTCCTTTTTTGGAGTTTGGAGGTGCCCTGATGAGGCCCAGCTGTGAAGCAGTGCAAGCTGCTGTGGGGCCTTGGGCCTTCTCTTGGAAGTTCTGGTTCTGTCTGGCCCAGCTGCAGTTTGTTAGGTAATTTTCAGATTGCAAAGAGCCAGGGCATTCATATGCCCTTTCATATGCAAAAGCTTGGGTGGGGCAGGGTCTCAGGGGATCAAAAGAGCAGAGCAAGCAGCTATGGCTGATTCTCAGTCCTACCCTAAGGGGCCTGGTGTCTCAGTGTCCCGGTAATCGCTGCAAGCACCTCTGAGAGAAAGCTGCCCTCGAGTTCCGACTGATGCCAGACAGTCCAGTTTCTCCCCGTATAAGTCTGGATCCCCAGAGACTTGCCCGGAACTGGAGATCAGACCAGTCGGGAGCTTGTGTCTCCCTCCCGATTGAAAAGGACAACTGTGTCCTCAGTTGTTAGCCCTTTCCACGTGCGCCTCCATACCTCTGCACTTTACTCCTGTACCTCCTCTGAGTCTCAGTGTGCTTTTCTCTTTCCTTCTAGTTGTAGAATTTCCACTCAGCCAGCCTTCCTGTGGTTCTGGATTATGTCTGTTTTGTCTTTTAGGTGTATTTTTGAAGTGGTTGTTGGAGGCAGCAATTTCTGGTGCTTACCTATGCCGCCATCTTGGTTTCTCCTCTGGTGTTGAGTTTTATGAGTTCTTTATACATTTTGGAAATTAAACCTTTGTCAGAGCTACTGTTTACAAATATCATCTCACATCTGGTTGGCTGCCTGCTTGTTTTGTCAGTTTCTTTTGCTGTGCCGCCATTAATTCTTAAATAATCGAGGAAAATACAGCAAAAGGCGAACTGGCCAACGGAGGTGAGCAGTGCATGGGTGTTGGGAACAGCAGCCTTGCAGCCTCCCCTGAAGGCTCCTCGGAGGAAAGGGGCAGGGAGACGGCTCCCGAGACCTGTCACAGGAGGGGACCGCGCATGCGCAGGCGTCCCATGGCCACAGGAACCCTTCGAGGCTGCGCCCGCAGGTAACCCCTTCCGGGCTGTCCCCACTGGGTAAGTAACCCCTTGAGGCTGTTCCCGCGGTTAACTCCTTGGAGGCTGCCACGGCCTCGCGGCTCGCCTCCCCCCAGCGCCGCTCCGCTCCCGACTCCGCTCATCCTCACTCCTGGGCGAGGAGAGGGCGGGCTGAAC